CACCACATGTTCTCACTTATAAGAAGGATCTGAACAATGAGAACACATAGACACATTCGGGGGATCAACACACGCTGGGGCCTGTGGTGTTAGGAGAGGGAGAGCATCAGGAAGAATAGCTAATGGATGCTGGGCTTAATACCTAGGTGATGGGTTGATCTGTGCGGCAAACCACCATGGCACACATTTACCTGTGTGTAACAAACCCGCACATCTTGCACATGTACCCTGGAACTTAAAATAAATATATAGCTGTCAAAGTTATACTTTGTTTCTTGCCAAAATCAGTTACCTTTATTTGCAGAATAGAATCCAACAACTGATTTTTGTTTAAGAAGGAATCGTAGCGTATGTCCGTTAAACACCATATAAGTAACTGACTCTGAACACCGGATGAGGCTATAACAGGTCAGGTTTTAAGCACAAGCATATAGATTCACAGAACGGCGCCAGACCCTGCCCTGGTTGCTCAGGACACACAGGAGAATAAATTGCACTCTGTCCTTCAGTTTGCATTCTGATGACAGAGACAGCCAGATGCATAGTTTCATTCATGTTAGTATGGGAAGTACTGGGACTGTAATATTAATAACATGCCAACAAGGAAGGACCAGTTATAATAGCTTAGCCTGAGTGTCAAGGAAGGCTTTAGTGAGGAGGTTGCCTTTCATTTGATCTGGGCCTTGAATTTGCCAACTAAAGACAAGGGAGAAAGAGAATAGATGGAAAGCACAGAATGATAATGAGCAAGTTTGGGGCCTGAGTTGTGCAAATAAATATTCCTTATAAATTGCACTACATGCTTGAGATGAAACAAGTTGAACACCGTTTGAGCAGTGTTGATAGTAGAGTGCATTTTAAGGTGTCAGCTTCTCTCAGGGCCTGCAGTCATTTCAGCAAGCATGGGTGTTTGGGGTCCTGCCAGTGCGTCTGCCCTTGCCTCTCAGCCCCACAAGGGGAGAGCAGTTGCTGGTTTGCTGCCTTTGCTCCAGGCCTGGTTCTGTGACTTGCCCTAGGCCACCCCCCTTTTCAGTGGTGTGATTTGATTCCCACGTATTTTGTTTTTTTTCAGTTTGAACACCCTTAATCTCCTCCCCTCAGGCCTTCACTGAGTTTATTTCTAGGAAGAACAGACCTGATGTAGGGAGACCTGAAGCCCAGGTCATTCGAATTCTCCTACACTCCCTATGTTTTGTGGTGTGTCACGACATCAAATGTTGGTAAAATGTGCTGAGGATGCGTCAAAACCCTGCACCATTGCAGTTCATAGAAGGATTTCTTTTCTACATTTAAACTATGGTATATACAGTATGCCAGCTATTTTCAAGTTTTATTATTATTACCTTTTAAATTTATAGGTTAGCATAATTTAAAGTGTCGGGAAACAAACCTTCTGGATTTAGTCTAGAAATTCTGGACCATCATTCTTTAAACAGTTCTGTTAACTTGTGAAGATCAGGATGATAAAGATCTCACCCTATGGGAGAGCGTACGTGGTGGAAGTCTAGGTTTGACCACTGTGGAAATCAACTGCCAGTATCCTACTAGGTTGGACATTCAGGCACTCAGTTAACCAGCAGTTTTTCTCCTGGATGTGTAGGAGAAACACACACACCAGGAAATGTGGCCAGGTGTGACCAGAGCAGCAGAAATCTGGAAACAGCTGGAGCACCCATCAGCAGGTGGAAATTATGTTACAGTGTTATTATACGACAGGGAGATGTGTCATGCAGTAGTGAAAGTTAGGGGCCTGCAGTTATTTGCAATAGGCAGATTAGTCTAAGAAGTGTAATACTGAACCAAGTCCCGAAGACTCCTATGATAGAAGTCTATGTTAACAAAATTCAAAAACAATCAAAATGAAACAGTGTTTCATTTGGCACACATATGTATAGTGAAACCTTTTTAGAAGCAGAAATACAAAATTCAGGGTTGTGGTTTTAATGGGTACTCCTTGTGGGAGGATGAGGGTGAGATGGGAGAGGTAGATGCAGGTAGGTGGATGTTATCAGTCATGCCCTTGGACCTGGGTATTGGCTTCATGGGTGTTCACTATGTAGTTATGCTTTTTTTTTTTTTTTCTTTTTTGAGACAGTGTCTCACTCTGTTGTCCAGGCTGGAGTGTGGTGGCACGATCTCAGCTCACTGTAACCTGCGCCTCCAGGTTCGAGCAAATCTCCTGCCTCAGCCTCACAGGTAGCTGGGATTACAGGTGCCTGCCACCATGCCCGGCTAATTTTTATATTTTCAGTAGCGACGGGATTTCACCATGTTGGCCAGGCTGGTTTCAAACTCCTGCCCCCAGGTAATCCGCCTGCCTTGGCCTCCCAAAGTGCTGGACTACCGCACCCGGCCTATGCTTTTCAACTCACACATGTGTGCACATACATGCTTGTGCGTATCAGAATTACATTTAATTTCATAGATAGGACTGATTTCATTTATAGGCAAATGAAAAAAGTCAGCAGAAGATTCAGGGTTTTTTTTTTTTAATGAATGTGTTATTTTCCTTTGGCTGCTGTAACAAAGTAATCCCAAGTTGGTGGCTTGCAAAAACAGATTTATCCTGTCGTAGTTCTGGATCTGGAAATGCAAAACCAAGGCCCTGCTGTCTCTGGCAACTGTAGGGCAGAAGGCTTTCCTGCCCCTCTGTTTCTGGAGCCACCAGCAGTCCTTGGCCTTCCTTGGCTCATGGCTGCACCGCTCCGACCTCTGCCCCCATGTTCACGTGCCATGTTCCTAGTGCCTGTGCCCGCCTCTTCTAAGGGTGGCACTCTTTAGGATCTGCCCCATGCCAGGGGGTCTTCGTCTTAACTGACGACATCTTCAGAAGTCTTATTTTCAAATAAGGTCACATTCTGAGGTTCCAGATAGACGTGAATTTTGTAGGACATTATTCAACTCACTGTAGTGGTCAAAAGCTGTGAAAAGGCAGTTCACAGGAAAAGAAATAGAAATGATTAATATCAAAAATATGCTTAAGACTGGGCGCAGGCCGGGCGCAGTGGCTCAAGCCTGTAATCCCAGCACTTTGGGAGGCCGAGACGGGCGGATCACGAGGTCGGGAGATCGAGACCATCCTGGCTAACACGGTGAAACCCCGTCTCTACTAAAAAAATACAAAAAACTAGCCGGGCGAGGTGGCGGGCG